AGTCAACCCCAAAAGAAAAGAGAACCAAAACCAACCCATACAAAATATTGATTCTGACTTGTCCGCAGGCTAGCTTCATGACATTTGGGTGGAGACAGTAGGAATATGAGAGTGTGCGGCCCTTGCAGAAAGGCAGCCGCTTTAGCAGGATGGGCAGTGGAGTCATGAGTGCTACGGCCCTCAGCAGGGCTGCCAGTCCCATTCTGGTGACCCGTGAGCTGGTAAGTATGGTGGTGTACTGCAGGGGCTTGCTGATGGCCACAAAGCGGTCGAAGGCCATGGCCAGCAGGATTCCTGAGCCCATGGAAGAGGATGTATGGATGAAGAACATTTGAGTGAGGCAACTATCAAATGCGATTTCATAGAGACCAAAGATAAAGACCTTGAGCACGGAGAGAAGTGTGGAGACAGACAGCACAATATCAGCCCAAGCCAACATGGACAAGAAAAGGTACTGGGGCTCCTGCAGACTCCGTTCTTTCCTCACCAAGTGTATCACTGTGCAGTTTCCTACCATTGTAATGATGTACATCAGGCTCAGGAGGGGTCCCAGCCACAAGCGGGAGCCTGCCAGCCCGCGGAGGCCTGTGAGGATGAAGAGAGAAGGCTGAAAGGCTGTGGTATTGAATTCAGACATGGCAAACTTTGAGAAGCTCTGCTCAAAACAGCTTCTTAGACATGCAACCTAAGGAAGAAGAAAATGAAATATCATATTCAATAGACTGTCATTTGGCTAAATGTTCCTGATGAGTGCTAAAGACTAGGAACAAAAGACTTAGGGGAATAAAATGACAACAGCTCTTATGTCTGGGAATGAAAGTATTTGTCTTCTGAGGTTGCTGTGAGATCTTGCAGTACCTTTGTTAAGAATCACCACCGGGGCAGATGAACGTTAGGGTTTGGGTTAAAATGAATAGCATACTCTGTGTTCAGTCCATTCTAAGTAAGTGATGTCCCGCAGCTAGGCTGAGATTTTGTGAGAATAAAAGCAAAGAGCTCTGTCCTCTCTGCTTGCTCTCCCATGGCACGCTGCCCTTTTACTGTAGTTGTACCTTTTTTGCTACTTTTACTTGGCCCAAACTCTCTCTGAAGAGCCTGGTTCTTTTCCTTGCTTTTAGAAAACTTTGTTACCTTAAAAAATAAATAAAAGCAAAGAATTATGTCTTAATATATGGGCTATGTAAGACTTTGTTAGAGGAGAAACTGGAGCATAAATGATCTTTGGCAACAAAGTAACCTGTATTTCTGAGCAGCTGATCAGTATAAGAACCCATCTGAACTAGAAAAAATATACTATATCTTCCCCTTTCCATCCCTCCTCCCCTCCTCTGGACCTCATTTCATGTGCTTTGAAATTTTCATAGAGGAACTCTTTCAACTTCTAAACCAATAAATATACTTTCCACTGGAAACTACAGTTCTTTTTAAACCTGAGGATGTGCTTTTATTGTTCTCAAGGGTAATCTTTTTCTTAACTTAATGCTGAGGATATTATTCTTTATCATTTTGCCTTTCTCTTTCAGTGCAAACTTTCTTGTTTCTTGATAGCTTACATCTCCAATGTAAGATGCTGAACTTATTTACATTAAAAAATAGACAAAACTAATCTTCTTTAGCCTGAATTCCCAAACTGTATTCCTATTTTCTATTTCATGTTTAACATGCCTTAAATTGTAGTTTAAACATATATATTTCATAGATATGTACATATAAAATATAGTATGCCATTTCTGCATTAATATTAAAACTATATGTAAAATGAATACATGTATATATACACTTTTATAGTCATTTCACATGCGCTCCTCCTTTACCCTCTATAGTCTGCTCTTCACCCCTATGATAAAAATGTTATTTTCAAATTTGCTCATATTATTGACTAAAAGGGAGCCCTAATAATTATCATCACAGAATAAAAGAAAACTCTGATCTGAGCTACTCTTAGGTAAATTGAGTTGTGTGATCATCTAACTTTAACATTCATGTCTCTCAGGAATATATTTACCTTGTTTAAGCGTTTGGCAATATTTGACCCTCTCAAGTATTTAATCAATGAAAATTACCTTTATTGCCTGCAATAAACTGATTCCCTCTCAATATTTATCTTACTTCTATGGCTGAACCTTAAATTCTTTTAAAGTTTGCTCATTATCTAGGTATTAATAAACAGTACCTTGCTTTCAACTCTGTGTTCCTCAGAAGTGATTGAATTTGTTCTTTTACTTTAGTTGCTTTTAAATGTGTAGCTTCTTTATTCTTCTCTTATATCACCTCCATGTACTTTGAATTTTACATTGATAAAATTAAAGTCACTTTTCCATGCACAGTTTGATGTCATCTCTGTGTGATATATCATCTAATAATCTGTATACTATCCTAACAAAAGAATTCATAGCTATCCTACATTAACTAAGCATGCCATTGCAAACCCTCAGACAGAGTAGTCTGATGAGATATTACTTGATCATCTTGAGCTTACAATTTTGTCTTGATCAAATAATCAATAATTTCACAAAAGTTCTTAAAAAAAGCACTATTTAACAATGTATCAATCCAAATTCTCCAGAAGTATCAACTTAGATAAATACAATTTTATACTGAAAGGAGCAGTTAGTGCTTATATTGTTTGACCAATCTTGCATGCTTATATCTGGTAATCTGAGCAACTGCTTTGAAGATAACAATATGCAATATAATAACTTGTTAATTTTCAAGCATCTTGTTTTGAAATTCTGTACCATTTTAATTTTTATTATTCTCTTTGAAGTAAAAACAAATGAAAGTAGAAAACATGAAAAAATACAGATCTGATGGACTTTTAAAAATGACATTGTAAATAATCTCAGAAAATTTCTAGACACATGTACAGGTGTCTTCATTTCTCTTCTTTCTTAAATGAAGATAAAATGAAAGTCAACAAATAATGTGAGGATCAGTTAGGAAGATGTGAGATGTGACATCTAGATATTCAAAAAGAGGCAGGAGGAATATTGAGGGCAGAACTACATAAAAACATATCAGTATATATGATATATAATATATAATATGCATATACAAGCTTCTTATTATCAGTTTGAAAGAGTACATAAGGCTAACAAAAATGATGAACATAAACTCACCCTCTGCTTCATGACATTTGAGAACTCAGTGAAAAATAACAACATTGTGCATGTTTATTGATAACAAGAAAATTTTAAAAATGAAAAGGAAACAGAAAAAATCCAAGAAACACAGCGAACCTAATGGACATTATTTTTGTCATTATTAAACTGTCAATGTATAAACAGTGAAATGATTGTTTTCGTATGTTAAACAATTATTTTTCTTTGTTTCAATCTAGAATTCTTTAGACATCTAGCTACCAATGAAGTATGAGGCCAAAATAAAGGCATTTTCAGACATGTAAAGACTTTTGAAATAAATGTATTGAGAAATCTAATGGAGAATATTTTCCGTAATAGTATGTGATGAATCCAGGAAAATTAAATCAAAGCTGCATCACTCTGATTCCAGGATTCTCAAGGGTGATAATATGAGGTGACAAGTGGGACAGCAAGTTTGAGAACAACCACAAAAAACTGATCAGATTATTATTTTCTTGTTATTTCCTAAAAGAAAAATTTTAAAAAAGAGAAATTGAAACAATAGACTCAAAAGCAAAATTGATGGACAATACTTCAATCATTCTAAAGGTTGTTTGTTTCTCCTAAAACAGTAGACAAAGTTTTCTATTAGAAGTTGAACATAAGGCTACGGTGTACTTCAATGGGGCCATGAGTCCTTAAGCCTGCAGGAGTCCTTGAACTCAACAAAGAAAAAAGAAAAATAACCTGTATATATAAGATGTTTCCAAATATAGATAAATTAAATGCCCCAATATGTAGGAGATTAAAATATGATATTATTGTAACTACCTTCTGGAATGCAAGAAGTATGAATGGTTTTGCCTATATTTTAGAAACACATGACATCCTGATTACTGAAGTACAACTTCACTGGAGAACACTTATTTTTGACATGAGATTTAGCTCTGTCTCATAAGCTAGATCTCATACTAGATAATATCTATGAACAGTAAAAATCATTTCAAAATTATTGACAGAAACATGTAATCACTAAAATAATACAAAACTTAAACTAATAAAATGTAAGGGAGAAGGAAGATAAGGTCAAGAGAAATTATAGACATTTTAGGAATGTAAACCTAAATTTTAGATATATGATCTACATTGATGGGAATAAAAGTGGACTATTACATAAGTGGAATAATGAAGCTTACATATAATATTTAAATGTATGAACAAATCAAAAAACAAAATAGCTTCATGAATGATATAGGTATTTTCTTTTCTTTTCTTTTTGTCATTTTGGAGACAGCGTCTTTCTATGCAGTTCAGCCTGGACTTGAGCTCACTGTGTAGCCCAGGCTGGCCTCAAATTCTAAACAATCCTCCTGCCTCAGCCTCCCAAATGCTGGGATTACAAGCATGAGCCACCACGCCCAGGGATAGAGGTATTTTCTAATAAGGAAGGAGGGAAAAAGGCCTGTATTTCACTAAAATCAGGTCCATTTTCATCTGGTATCCAAATAAAAATTATTAAATTTTAATCATTTCATGATATATACTATTTATATGTTATTGTATCACAAGAATGCAACATTCTGATCTATGAAGAAGAAACAAATCTGTTAAACTAGAAACCTGCATGTCTTTAAATCCTGTCCTATTATCCCAAATTTCACTTTTTAAAAATTCAAATATATATCCCCCAATCCTATAAAGTGTATATTTTCCAATGTTTCTCATACAACTCAGATCCTCTTGAAAAATCTTTCACTATTAATTGTATGTGTATCTTCTCTTTGGAATCCATTTACACATCATTTCAGTCATTATGTATTTATTAAATACACACTATAGGTAAGGGATTGCTTTATGCTGTGAAGATACATTGAAAAAGTATCTCATGCTTCTGATAAAGTGTATATTATTGTGAGAAAATTTATTTCTCAAACTTCATTCCATCAAGATATCATTACTAGAAATAACCTGAAGTTTATCATATTTAACTATGATCATGTTAATAATGATAGAAGTTATGATCCCATTAATATTTCTCAAAGGTGAGCCAAATGACATTTTCTCAATTTTATCTTAAAACATTTCAAAGTCTCCAAGAGAAAATGACATTGAATAGTTTTCATTCACTGTAAAGTCACTCTCATACAGGAGGGAACAATTTTACTAGAAATACATAGTTATTTTCCTAAAAGTTAAAAATGGACAGGTACTATTTAGATTACTGTAACAATTTATAGGGGAGATTTTTATTTCTCTCTTCAAGGATTAGTGATATTCAATGTTCTGCTAAGCTAATATATATGCTGTAAGGCAGAGATACTACTTAACTCTTTGAATGGTGTGTAGAACTAGATTTTAGAAACAAATACAACCATTTCCAGAATTATACTATTGTATTCCCTTGGAAAGAGTCAAGGTATTACATTAACAAGAACATGTTTCTTACACTTGTGTTTGGAATGAAATGGATATTAGAAAAAAACATAGGGAAGGGAATACTGTACCTGTGAAAAGAGAGACTGAGTGACTGTCCTCTGTCTGTGTTTGAGAGAAT